GTTCAGGGTGATGTTTTCCCTTCACATAATGCTCTAGGCCAAAATAATATTAAACTCAGGGCTCATCTGAACAGAGCTGGATGCTGGTAGTGTCCCTTACAAAGGCTTGTAACAAAATTCAAATGTCTTGTGGATCTGCATTCTGTCAACAGATTCTCCAATCTGAGCTGTGGATCTGTGACCTGCTGTTTCTCTAATTACTTCTCTCATTGCCTGTCAGTTTAGGTGGAAGGTTATGTGTTGAGGCGTCTGACCTGGCGACATACTCTTTCCATTTTCAAAAAATACATTGAACAATCTTATAAAAGATGCAGAGAGCTTTGGATACTACTGTTCTTCTCCTCAACTTTCTCCCTGGCCTGTCTGCTTGGTTCTTTGGTGTTTATAATGCTGTTTCTTCACTAATGGTCACGTAATGGAATACAATTTCGATGTACAATTTAGTCTTCAGAATTTTGTTTTGTTTTTGAGTTGGTGAAACATATTAAAATATAATTTACAGAACTTTGTGTTGGTGACGGATGTGGTACTCTTGGAAGGCTCCGTGTGTCCGGAAACGCATTCCTGGACTGCGACACCAGGGTCCAAATAAAAACGAGTATTCTCTGGCCAGAGGACATAGCTGACGTATGACAATGGAAAAAGACAGTCGGAGCTCTGTGCCGAAGTGGCTCTGAACCGGCGTATAGCGTTACATGACACCGAGAGGAGACGGGTCTGTGATGGTACCGGAGCACTCAAGGCGGTACTCCGAGTGCCGTGATGTCAGCAGTGTACCAAACAGACTGATTACATGCGAGCAGAGGTGGAATGCTTGATGGAGACCACAGGCGATAACGTTATTCCGCACCTTAATAAGAAGACCAGTCGAACAACACGAGTAGTGATAGCAATTCCGTCTCCATTCCCGGATCCGATTCATTTGGCTCAGCTCACCAGTAAGATCCGGCTCTTTCTGCTACGCAATTCTAATTCGGAAAAGTTTTGAGATTTAATTTTGTATGAGCGTAACCCCGTATAACACTGATTAACATAATTTTTTGAATTATTTAATCAAATTTTCTATCTTTTTTTTTACTGCCTTATTTTCTTAAATTTTAATCAGGTGCCTGCTGTAAATTTTCCCTATGGGAATTTTTAAAGTATCTCTGTTTCTGATTATAGCCCTTGATTAATATAAATACAATTTTAGAAAGTGGCAGATAGCTGTAAACAATGAGATTGTTTCTGATGGATGTTTCTTTCTATACAAATTGAGTTGTTTTCTCCACTGTTGCCACATGCTTGCTCAGGATGAAAGACTGATGCCAAGTCAACAAGATTAAATTATCTGGGGTTCCTTAGACAAATGTTTACCAGTTGCCATTAGATAATCAATTGGCTTTGATGGCACAGTATTAAAATTAGAAACAAATTGAACATATCTGATATGGAAGTTACTATATAATTGGATTGTATGGGGAAGACTTGAACTATTTTAGAACTGAAATTATATTGTATTATGCCATGGATTGAAGTTGTCTTGTAAAGGGCTTTGAGATTACATTTATTGTAATTTGATGTTTTTGAAACAATGTCTAGAAATGAACTCCAATACACAGGTGCGAATTATATGGTTACTTACTGCTTATGCATATTTTGACATGTGCTGCTATTATGCTATAATAATAATAATAATAATAATAATAATAATAATAATAATAATAATAATTATTATTATTATTATTATTATACTTCCATTGTTCATGTGAATGAATCACTCATTCATTATGAGTGGGCACAAGGAGCCGGATCGGCTTCGGGCGCCACATCACTAATCAGCAGCGTTGCCTGGTGATGGAAGCGGGCAGGCTCGCAGGAATGCAGTGCGAGAGAGGGTACGAGAGAGGACATAGAGGCAACCGTAAACCCAACGTTCTTCTAACCTGCCGCTGGGAGATGCAGTCAAGTTAATAAACCACTTATAAACTAACCAGTATACACTTTACGGCTGTGTAAGCAGGCCGAATACGCCTCAGTGGTAACTCATGGAAACGCATTCAGGACAGCTGCATAGACACAGCGCCAAACTGTGCTGTGACAGCGAACTGAGGCACTGCTGCGGGACACACTGTTCATACTTTAGCCGCATAGATATGACCAATAAAATCACAAGGATACATTTCACTCTACATATAATAAGTGCAGATGAAAAAAATAAGCAGGAATAAATCGAACTTTCTCGAGGTTTTCCAACCGCTGTCCTCCACAGCAAGCTTCGTTTAGGAATAAAAAAAAAAAAAAAAAAAAAACATGCTATCCAATCAAACATTATGTTCCACTCAAATTTTATGTTGTTTTGACTTATAAATTCTGACCCAGGACTGGGACTAAGCTAAGTAGCTCAGTATCAAGAATACGAAGAAACAGCACCTATCAGGGTTATGGAGGTAGAAGGGAACTGCATTCACTCACCCCGCAGTTGGAGATCATCCCGATCCAAACGGGCAGCGAAACGCCCCCAACAGAGTCCCCCTTTATCTGGTCGGTGCTTCTATCAGACCACAGGGTCCAGGGTTTAATTGTAGTAAAACGATAATGTTAAACCGACGAGAAATCTGCCAAAGGCTTTAACGAGGCGACCGTTAGTGTTTAGCCATATCGCCTGTTCGCTGCAGTTGTAGAGTTTCAGCAACCGAGTAACGGCCCATTTCGCTTTAACGGTGACGTCAGCATGGCCACGGAGCGAAGCTGTGATTGGTTCAAAGCAGAATCAGCACGTCACTGGCCATAGATGTGAACCGCCTCCTACACCGTCACCATAGCGACTAACGTAAACATCAGAGAATCCTTTCATTGAAAATATGCCACGTTCGGTCGCGGGGGAGATCATCTATCCCGTTCCTCCTTCTGTTATTTTTTTATAGGAGCTTCTTAATGGAAAGCATAATAATAATAATAATAATAATAATAATAATAATAATAATAATAATAATAATAATAATAATCAGAAGAAGAAAAAAAAGAAGAATCGCCAGTTTTAAAACAAAAATATAAAGATTTAAATATATGTAACTTTAAGCTAATATTTAAAAATAAAAGGGGGTAAATTGACAGTTTAATGATTACATTTATTTTAAAAATAAAATTCTCACATTGCCTATAAATGTAGTTCATTGTTGCTAAAAAAAATCATTCAACCAGGTTTAAAAAAAGAAGATATTTCTCAAAGTTTTTTATAATAATTTATATACTGAATCATATAGCTATGCAAAATTGCTATACTAAATCAATTTTAAAAAGCTGAAATTTATTTCTGACAATTCATTCCCAAAAAGTTAGAATATTATGTCATATACCATAAAGATGAATGTAGTAGTAAATTGTTTAAAAACAATATTTTATCAAAAACAAAACACTGTCTAAAATATGTGGGCTTTTCTGTAACTAGGGTCATGTCAAAGATATGTGATTTTAATATTTTTGACTAAATTTGATTCTCCAAATGATGTGGGCTGCCTGAGAAATGGATATCTAACTCTTGATTAGACTGAGATATGGGGAATTTAAAGACCAAATCAACACCTCAAAGTCTTTGTTGTGCTCCTGAAACAATCCCTAAACCATTTTCTATTTGATGGCAGGATGCACCACCAACATCAGAGAATAGCTTTACCATAAAAAGGTGCAACAATGCTTAGGATATATCAAAGTAACATCCACATGAACAACAGAATCCTAAAGTTTTCTAGAAGAATACTGACCAAAGCGTTGCCTTCCTCTCATGGTACATCCCAGTGCCTTTCTATTTCCAGGTAAGAAAGGTCATGTCGCCAACCTAACTTGGCTCTTATCAAACTATCTCAAAACCTCATTTGCTCATTTTCCTGTTCTTGGTCTTCAAAGGTAAAATACTTGCTTGCTGCCTGATATACCATGTCCACTAATAACCATGTCACGATAAAGAGATCATCAGTGATTTCCACTTTATCTGTCAGTATAGTTACAATGCTATACCTAATCAGTTTATTTCCTTAGCTGCAAGAAGTGACTGGCTCTCTGCATCAAAGCGAATGAGTAATGGACGCTGAGCTTTGCATTCCCTCTGCTGTGCTATAATACTGAACATCTTCCAAAAAGTGGGCCCGGGTCCAAAACTGCTACTGTGAATGAAACAGCGTCAGACAACAGAGGAGGGAGACGGCCATTTATTAACATTCAGTGACGCATCTTTCATCCCAAGAAAGATGACTCACTCTGATCTTTAAAAAAAAAAAAGACTTTTTATGGTTTCTTGGAAAGCAAAATCATGATTTAATTGCTACAGATGAGACTGTGTGAAATGATTAACTTAAATATTGGTGTGTACTACAGAAATATCTCATTTGATTCAAGATAATTCTATAAATGTAGGGAAATATAAGAAAAACAGACATATTATAAAGTGTGCTTGTTGATGAATCCAGAGAAGTAAGTACTGATTTAGTAAATCAATTAGTGACATAATGTACCATCAAAAGCTGCAAGGTGTTTAACAGGATAGATTGAAAATCTGAAAACACCTATGGAGGTCCAAATTGATCACAATTAAATAAATTAAAAATTATGTTGATTAAATTTTGTATTTTTTTCAACTGCAGACAAATACATTTAATATACCCACTGTGTGCCATACAGTGGGCAGTTCACACATCGAAGTCCTTGATGAAGCTGTCCAATGTTCAATTTCTGACCTTGGGAATTTAGCTGCATGTTTTAACCTCTTCTGTCTGCCCAGTACCTGCACAATTACTGTGAATCTTATCCACATTTATGTCATTGTTAATTTATTAACTATACAATAGTTATTAAATTATTAAATAGTTAAATATGATAATCAAATGAAATAAAATTTTATTATGGTTTGAATTTCTTAAATAATTATTTCTGTAGTTTGATCTTTTTTTATAGTTCTTGTGCTGGAAAACATTTTGAAATACTTTAGGTTTTCTGCAGGGCCCATCAAGCAGACTAATATCTGATTGGTTCACCTGCTCACCAAGTCGAATTCAGCCCAATCACTTTAAGTTATAGCACTAGTAATCCCACCCACTGAGCCAGGTGAGGAAAGCTGACAACTTATACATTAGTAATATACTGCAACTAGGTTATGAAATTAATAGTTTACTAGTTAATAAAAACAATTTCTTGTAAATAAAATATTGTTATGCATATTTTGTTATGTACTAATTAACAGTTACACATAATTAATAAACACATAATTGATCCATCTATAATTATTTGACTTCATAATGTAATTAAATCATTTTTGGAACTTCAAAACAAAGAAGGTCAATCAATAAGTGAAAAATAGTAGTTCTATTGTTCAAATAAAGTGTCCTGAAGTGAACCTGCTTGGCAGGTTAGCCATGAATGTTGGGGTCTATTTGTCAAAGTAGTCATGGTGTTCTGCAAGGCATTTATCAGTCTATACCAACTTATTTTTACAGGGTTGTGGGCGGTTGGTGCCTAACTCTGGTTGTTATTAGATATGACACAAGGTACTCCTTGGACAGGTCATGAGGGCAACGAGGAGAAAAACAGGACAGGCAACCATGCAAACATACACTCCCTCCTCAGGGCATTTCGGAAAAACCAATTAACCCAACATGCATGTTTTTAGACCGGGAGGAAGATGGAATCAGGAGTTAACCCATGAATGCATAGAAACTTAATACAGAAAGACCCCAACTTTCTTCATTACAACTGTACTCCCATGTAGCATCGGCAGATGGGAGTGGTGAGATTTTTAAATAAAAAGTGCTGTGCATTTGATTTAAGTAACATTTTTACAAAAATGAAATTATTTATTTAATTTGTAATAAATAAATTTACAAATGAAATTTGTAAAATTAAATCATGGATCTAAATCCATCCATGATTTAGACTCTGAGATGCACAAATATTGATTTAATAAATTATTTGTATATAATTTGGACAGTTTGACCTTCCAAATTTTGCAGAACTCTTGAATGCCCATACTGAACGCATGTTAGCAGAAAACATCAATTTACCAGAACAGTGAAGCCTTAAACCAGGAATGTCCAACTCCAGTACTCAAGGGAGAGTGTCTTGCATTTTTTAGATGAATTTCTGCACCGACAATTAGCTTCTCAGAGTGTTGTTGAGTTTTGAAGGAGTTCTGCTAATGAATCATTCAATTGATTCAGGTGTGTGATGGAAACATCTAAAACATGCTGGATGGTATTCCTTTGACTCTAGACATCAACTGGTTTAAAGAAAGCTCCTGCACTCGTGCGTCAGGCAGATCCTAAAATCCTGACTAGTTTGGAAGGATTTATTGTGCAAGTAAAAAAAAAAAAAAAGAAAGTGATTTGCTAGTTTTGCTAAGAGAACAAAAAACTAACAGGAATGTCAATAATAAAAATGTTTAAATCAACAATTTTACTGAAGCTATGGCTTCATATGTGGCAGCCATATTGGATTTCGAGGTCAGGGTTGTTAAGGCACATCTAGCTGATCTTTCAGACTCTAAATTTGAGATTTCTTACTTCCAGAACTAAATAGAAGCCAACATTAGTGGGTTTGGTACCCGACTACTTAAATGACATTACCACCATTTTGTGCTCTCCATAGGCTTTATTAGCATTTTTTCTAACACTCATTGTGAATTTCCTTTACCACATAATATTTTAAGATATGACTGTTTTTAGGATATTATGTTGGTTTCAACTAGATGGGTAAAAATCTGAGATTTAACACCACAATTAGGTCTTCATATTAATGTAAAGAAGCAGAGGCGCCTAACTAGCTTCGCTTTGCACAAAATCCTCCAAAAGGGGAACATAGAAGTTAGAAACAATAGCTTACTTATATATAACTGTGTACTAAGATCAGGCTTTAACAGAGTCAGAAAACATACAGGTGTATTCTTTCCTATTTGCCTCATTTCTCCACTCTTTTTTTTTCTTTGCTAAGCTAAGCTAACAATCTCCAGTGTGTAGAAATACATGTGGTTTAATCACCTCATATTATTCTTGGCAAAAAAAAAAAAAAAAAAAAAAAAAAAGAAAAAAAAAATTTTTTTTTAAATTCAGACAAAAAATTTTTTTTTTTAA